CCTTGCCGGTCGCTTGGTGCTCCCCCTGCCGCCGCCTCGGCCTGCTTTGGGTGGAAGCCAGAGCTGGTGGTTTCGGCCGGGTACTGCCCTGCACCGCGCACTCCAGGAGCGGCCGGCGGCGCCGAGCTTCCCGTGGGGCAGGCGGGGGGGGGAACGCCTGCCTTACGTTGGTAGCAATGTATGTAGTTTTGACCTGGTGCCCGGAGACGCTGTCACGCGAAACTACAAGTGAGGGTCGCGTATTCGCTGAGAAGGCCTTGCTGGAGATGAAGCCGCTATTGTTGTGGTAGCCTGGACTGGAGTCGGGGTCTGCCCTGCGTCTCGCCTCATTGTCAGCCCGGTGCTCGGCTTCCTGAGCGAGCTCTTCTCGCTGGTCATGTGGTGGCTCTGCTGGCTCCTGCTGCCTTACCTGCGTCGGGGGTCAGCAGGCACTCTGCTCTTGGTCCTTCTGGGTTAATATTTGGGGCTGTAATCTTAGTGTTTCTGCAACTGGCTGAGAACATCACGTCGCCTGATAGTAAAAGGCTTTCCTGTTGTCAAAGTGTCTGTGTGCCTGAATTTTCTACTCACTAATTATAAGCAGCTATTTGACTTTTCTATGATGAGACCAGAAGTGCTTGCTATATAGTGCAGTCATGGTTTTCCAACTGACTTATACCCCCACTTAGTGTTACTCTGACCTGATTGTTCTGTGTGGAAGTTTATTACCAATACTTCTTAAGAGATTCTTTGGTAATGCTGTTAGAAATTGCCCTTGAACTTTAGATAAGCTGTGGTTATCCTCTGTTTCTTATCATTTGCTCAAATAAATTACTCTGATTTGGGTTTGAGAATGCTTTAATCTATAACCCCTTGCAGACCATCTCTGTTCTGTCCATAGGGCTTTCAGTTACTCAATTTGGGAAAGGAAGGAATTATCCAATTTTAATATACTACACAAAGTGATCTTTTTCTGAAATTCTGTTTTTCCCAGTAGTGATCTAATTGTTAATTTTGGGTGCGACTTCTTTCTCACTGTCCGTAACAGTTAATTCTATTCACTTCTTTCTGCAGTGCCTCTTGTTGCTTATGCAAATCTTAATTTGTTTCTCTAAAACTTGCTTTTGGAAGTTTCCACGATTTTTTCCCATTTACTTTGCCTTCATTTGGAATTCCAATTTTGTACTTTTTTTTTTCTCCACCTCACAATATCCTTCTGCTGTTTAAGTCAAGAGGACCATAGGTTTTACTAGTTCCCCTAATAGTTTTCCTTACGAAGTTGTTTCTGGTATGTTCAGGGACGACAGAATTGTCCCCAAAGGTTTCTTTGCCAACCTGCATTTCAGGTTAATATTCCTTCATTCATTTTAAACTCATCACTATGTCTGTCATATAGCTGTCCTTATAGATTGAATAGTTACCAACATCAGTAGCTTCTGATAATGTGTTATATCTTAAAAAGAAGAGTAAGCTCAAACTCCAGATTTTTCTGGTGAAGAATGCATTTGCTATCTAAAATAGTGGTCTTACTTGACAAATTGCTCTGCTTGCTTAGTAATTTTGAAGGATTTTTCTTAAAGTTGAAGGAAATCCTTGGTAAGACTATTCAAATACAGGTGCAAGTTGTGTTAAATATTTCATGTATTACATGAAGAGTGCTTTCTGTATCCTGTTGCAGTTACTGATGATAATTTGTTCTAAGCATGTTGTTTACTTTACAGAATTCTGAGGATGTCCGATGTAAATGCATCTGCCCTCCTTACAAGGACCATTCGGGCCATATTTACAACAAAAATGTTTCACAGAAAGACTGGTGAGTGTGTGTGGCATCAAAAATTATAATGAGTCTTAACTGGTTAAAAGACTTGTTCCATAGTGATTATATGTGAGTCATAATGATTATATGTGGTGGTGCCAGGAGAAATTACATCTCTTGCATAACTTACTGGAACTTTTCTTTTAAAATTACTCCAGAATTCAGCTCTAGTAAGGGACAAGGCTTGAAATCCATACTTTTGCCCTGTCTTCTGTTTTGGTCTGCTTGCTTGCATGTTTAGTTAGTTATTTAGACTTGGAAGTGGTAAGAAAGGAAAGAGATGTTGTAATTTGAATTCAGTGATTTGAAATGGCATAAAGGCAAAGGAGCATGGCTGTGGAACTAGGACTCAGGAGTATTGTCGTTTTTTTTCTCTACTCTTGAAAGCCATTGTATCATTTAGAGACTATTGTTTCTTGAGATTTCTGTTCCTCAGAATTGCAGCCATAGAGTGCAATTATATGAAGTGGCCTGAGCTGTCTAACAACACATTTTTTTCAGAGAGAGGTCTTGCATCTCTGTGCCCTGGCAATGTGCTCTATGGTATTGTTTAGGCCAGCTATGGCATTTGTTAGACTCCTCTCCAAGCTGAAGGCTGATGTGCATGGCCAGGGATGAGGGTTTGGGGAAGGAAGTGATTTGTTACATTGGCATAACTCCCTTGTGTAATTTCACCTGGACTATCATTGTCTATGTGAATCATACAAATAAAACACCATGGTTTAGAGTTGCGTTGGTGTTGGAAGTGCTTAGGGATTCTTGAGTTAACCTATAAACGTGACATACTTCTTGATGTATTGACTATTCTTCGGTTACATTAAGAATTTATAAAAGACTTCAGTCTGATGAGTAGCAGCAAGTTGGCATCTTGATTATGAAAATTTCGTGCCCCTGAGTAGGCCCACAAAAATAATTGTAGGAATAAAATTAATAATACAAATATGGGCAGAGCTATGCCTTGACTTATTAAATTACTTACAGGGGAACTGTGAGAAACAACACTGTAAATCTCAATCTAAACTAATGAACATAAAATGTACTGTCAAATCAAAATTACTATTTTTGTCCCACATTATTAACTTAACAACATTAGTCCTACTATGACAAATTAAGTTTTGATGAAACATACTGGGAGAATTCCAGCTGCAGTAGGCTTTTCAGAGTAGCAATGTTACTGGTTTTATTCATTACTGCTTTGCAAATGAAAATGGATTTTTTCAGTGGGTATTGCTTAGTGTGTGTCTTACTAGCAGAAAAGACCCTGTTTCCCTTTAAATCAATATTGGTACTGACTGAAGGAAAAATTAGCTTTGAAGGCTTGACTAATTTTATGGTGACAGATACTGATGCATACAGAATCTCAAAAATCTGTTTTTCTATCTTAAATCTCATTTTGTTGAGATAATTTCTTAAGTGACCATCTGGGAACATTTTATGGCTTTGATAATCTGTTTCAGGTGTCTTCTTGCCATTTCTAAAAGGCTTGATTGCTGATTCATGTGCAATAAAATCGACAAATCTGGTTCTGTAGTTTGGCTTCTGCATCAGTGCAAGTGACTTACTGAATAGAACTGGGTGATGTACAGCATCCTTTAGGTATTTAGATTAGTCACTTGTGAGACGAGACAGATCAATTTTTAGTGTCTTTATGAATTATGTACAGTATGATGACCACTTACTGCTTACTTGTCCAGACATAACACGAAAATTTAATTTTTAATGTTGAACCTGTAATGTGCATCATGATGCTCTCATTTAGATGTTTCAGTTCTTTCACTTGGAGTGGTCTGTTCTTCAGCTTCAGACTGGCAAATGGCGCGTTATGTTAACATCAATATGGGCTGGGGTGCTTTGACACCAATACAGGTGTTGATGCTTCTGGGCTTGGGTTTGGAACTATTGCAGGTAATCCCATCCTGATGGACAATGTGCTAGGCAAGCATAGTGATGTCTAAGCACCTATAGGGTTTAATAACCCACTTGGAAAGTGTTGGTGTTTGTATTTTGTACTTTGAAAGTATTGGTGTTCCATGTACACAGGCTGACTGCAGTGGTAGTCATAGATGTGGAGGGAGGGAGGACACCCTGGCTATAAGCGGAATGAACTGGAAATCTGTCTGTGCAGAAGCTGCCCTTCCGACTAGCCTAGCTTCCCTTGGAAGAACTGCTTCCTTGGTGCTGTTACTGTGGGTGCAAGGGAGAAAGTGGTAATGTAGAGGCAGCTGAGTGGGAAAATCAGTTAGAAAAGCATCAGCCTTTTCTACATTTTCCTCTAAAACTGCCATGGAATCACAGTCCAAGGAAACACATCACCAAAATTCTAAGGTTCTGATAGATTTTATTTTTTTAATACTTCCTAGCAACTTAAAATCCTCAACTGGAGAAAAAAATTTTTTATATTAATATTTGATATATTTGCAGTAAGAGACTTGCTACTGTACTTAAGCTACATACAAACTTCCTACTGTACTTGTGCAGCATGTTGATGCAAGCTTTCAACCATATGAACAGAAATTGCTTAAATCGTAACTTGCATTATTTTGATTTTGTAGCTTGAATGCTGCACTCCTCCACAGACGAGAATGTAGTTCTAATTTCAAATAAATGAGAAAAATAAGCCTTCCACTCCTCTCCAGAGGATATGAATTGACACTCAGTAGTTTTTAGTTATGAAGAAGAAATACAAAGAAAACAGAAGAAATGAGCTGGGTGTGTGGCCATGTGTTTGCAGCGTACCCTAGTGAAGTGTTGAATCCTAGGCTGCTGCTGTCACATCAGGTGTTTTATTTCATTACCTGCTTCTGACTGCACTAACATTGAGTTAACCAGGATAAAAGCATGATTTTTGTTCCATCAGTGCTCTGCAGGGACCCTGGGATGTGAACTCTGAACAACCAGCCTGAGTCAGCAAAAAGACCAAAATTACATAAGTTATTGGTGGAAGCAGTTGTCTCTTGGCAGCTGGATTTTAGTGCTGTGATATAGAGTGCCCCTAAGATTGTCAACCATGCTTTTTGGCATGGGACTGACTTATATTTTATAATCTTTTAAGTCAAATTACGCTTTTGCACCCAGGTCTGGTGCTGAAAACTAAATACTCTTTATTCACTATCTTGTTGCTTAGAGAAACAACCCATCTGACTTCTTTTATTTTTCTTTAATGCCCGTAACTTGTGATGGCAAGAAAAAAGAACTTCTGTTCATCAGCACTAAAGGGGGGGTTAATCTTTGTTCAGATAGTGGAAGGATAGGATAAGGCTCTTTTGAGTATGATGAAGAAAGTGTATAGCTGGAATTTACTTTCCTCCGTGATGTCAGTGTCAAATGATGCATTTGTGCTGATATTCAAATCCTTCAACTTGTTATGCTAGCAGCTTTAATGCTTTCACTGAAAAGTGAAAACATTGTGTTGAGTTAGAAAGGTCTTAAAACTTGTTTAGCAGATTGTTAATAGCTGAATTTCTTGTTTAAAATAATTGTGTAGTGATTTATTCTGTTTTTTTTATGTCTTGGATACCTATTATTTAGAACAGCTGAACTTAAGCAAAGGTGGCTTCTCAGCTCATGCAGCTGGGGTCTGCATGCATAGTGGAATAGGTAAGCTAAAACCAGCTCAAAACTGAGCAGTTTCTGTTTTTCTTCAGTGATTGTCTTCATGTGGTAGAGCCTATGCCTGTCCCTGGACCTGATGTAGAAGCATACTGTTTACGTTGTGAATGCAAATATGAAGAGAGAAGCTCTGTCACAATTAAGGTAAACAATGTGATTCTGTTGGCATATATTAAATACTTCAGCTGGTTAGTAAATGTCTGTTGTCTTTTAGAGAAATATTTTTTTTTAAAGGGAAGATTTTTCTGGAGCAGCCTAAGACTTAACTTTTTTTCATGATAGTTGCTCACAATTTATCTTGAGTAGTAACAATAGCATCAAGCTATAGCTGAAGGAGTGGGCTTGAGATCCTTTATTGAAGATCTCTACTTTTGAGATTAAGCTTTACATCTTGCTGAAATTCTGACTGTTCTAGGGCATTTTGTTAAGCTTTGGACTCCGTGTTTTTGTTATTATTTTAGAGGGCCTCTCATTATTCTGCTGTCTTACTTGCTTACTATGTATTTTCTTTGTGTGTTGGCAAGCTAAAAAGAGCAAAATAATCCATGTTTGCTCCAACAGATGATTTCTGTATTCTTCACGTTGTTACCCCGTTGGAGCCATTGAGCCCTAGGCTGGGGTGAATAGATTGTGCAGTGCGTATTTTCTTCTTTTATAACACACAAGTTATTTTAAGAGGGATGGTGTAAGATTGTTAGCAAGGCCTCATGAAGAGGAACTGTTACAAGCTAACATCTGTCTGCCCCAAACAAACCTTTTTAATACTAGGGTTGTAGTTTGGTGGTTTTCTTCTGTTCATGGTTTTTAAGTCATCTAATGACTCTACCGAAGATTGACAGGCTCATCACAAACTTTGCATGTGCTCTTCTTTTGGTCCTAGCTGCCTGCTGAGAGATGGTGGGGGTAATGTCACAATTCTGACGTAAACTGTGCTTGCATTGTGTAGGTTACAATCATCATATATCTGTCTATTTTGGGCCTACTTCTTCTGTACATGGTGTACCTTACACTGGTGGAACCTATACTGAAGAGACGTCTCTTTGGACATTCACAGCTCATACAAAGTGATGAAGACATTGGGGTGAGTTCACCAGAGTGCTTGTGTATTTGGGTCAACATAAGGGTTGGGATGGTTAGTTGTTAAATAACTATTTGGGATGAGCAGCTTTTTTTGCCAGGCAGTGTAGATGCTTTTCCTGAAGGGAGAGGAAAAGGAAGCTGTGAGATGACTTCTGTGAAGCCACGCTTTCCACGGGGCTACAAAGCAGTAAGATGAGGACTGCTTCAGTTATCCCAGCTCTATAGACATATTATTTTCTCAGAGAAGAAACAGAGTAGGGGTGGAGTGAAGCATATATAGGAGGTACAACTTCTTAAGTGTTAGTGATCCATACAGTCTTGCTAGTGATCACATTTATGCAGATTGCTTACTGCTTAGATTTCTCTCTACAAAAAGAAAATAGGGGGGCTGCATCTTCTATTGGTCCAGCTTGAATTTGCTGATGCTAAGTTACCGAAGAAATTATTATAATGAAGTAAAATACTGATTGATGCTGAAAATAATTTCTTAGTATTACAGCTAGAAACAGTAGAATGTGACAGTATATTCCAAAAGATCAAAACAGCCTTCTTTTGGAGGAAAAGGTGAGTAGTCCATTAGTGACTTGGCTTCCTTTCGCTACTGGCCTTGCCAATCTCCAACACAGTTTTTTTGACTTCTCATAAAAATGGAACAAGATTTTCTTTGGTACCATTACAGGAAGGGAATATAGGACCTTATGAAACCTTGCATTGGAAAGAGAGAGTGTGGATAAGGAATACTGTCTGATGAGAGTAGGTCATCTGTATTGAAGAGGAACTTAGGACGGTATAAAAATGCAGACTATGGCTCTGCATCTGATGAATCTGCATAGCTGGGAGAAGGATAGCCATAAAGTAATGTGCGGAAAGTTTTCTAAAATGGCAGCTGATTTGATGGTAAAGTGTCAGTGTTGAACCATACAAACTGATAAGACAATTCTGAAGTCTCAGCATCAATATACTTTCTATATTGAGCCTTCAGGCAGCACCGCTTTTACTGATAAAGTATGCTTCAGGTGTGGTGGTACCTTAGAAAGAATTTCTGAAGCCAAACCTGGAGTATGAAATGGGAAGATTGTGGTCTGCTTAACCTAAGCCTTTCAGCAGACGTGAGCACTTTATTGCTGTTGAAGTAAACGGGAGCTAGTCAAAAAGATATACAACATCTATTACTGTCTTACAATAGAATTGTTAAGAATATTTTCATCGTTCCTTCAAATAAATAGAAAGTTGATAGGAGAAGATAAAAAAGTTTGTTGTTGGGGAAACAAAATTATATGGCAACACTCTGTCAAATCTTTTTAAAAGCCCTGTAGTTCTGACTGCCTGCTGTTCCAGTGGCTTCACAGATCTGAAGGCATCGAAACCAGTAAATGCTATGCTCTGTTATGCTATGTATCTGTGGATTTTAATGTGAGTTGCACTCAGTTTCTCCAGGTTGTTTTCAGTGTGACAACTGTCATTGCTAGTAAACTGAGGAAGAGCGTATTCTTTAGTTCAACTTTTTCATCAACAGTGGCCACATCAGCCATTTTGACTTAAAAAGGTATTTCTGTTCTGTAGGAGCGGGATATTAAGTATTCATAAGCAATCACTTTCCTAGATAATAACTTTTATCAGCTTTGCCTTCTTTATTTATCTTGACTTCACAACAAAAATATGTGATTGTTACCCAAGTTTGAGCTAACGTTGTCTGGAATGAAGGCTCTCCTGACAGAGGTATACTATTGCTGTTGTGTCCCACTGTTTCTGCACTTTCCTGTGTATTACATGGAGACATATTCCAAATGTCTTTGTATTGACGTCTTAAGATTTTTCCAGTCAATTCTAAGAGGATATGAATTCTGGTTTTTTTTGAAAGGAGGGATTTGAATGACCTTTTCTGTCTGCATTCTTATAGGAAATTGGGCAGATTCCTGCTTAAAATAAATGAACTTGTGCTGTATGCTATACTTCAGACAAATCGTTTTTATTTTATACTGTAGATAAATTATATTAGTACCTCCAAGTCTGTGTTAGAATCTTCTGATTGTAGGTGGAAGAAGTCAAATAAGTTCCATGGCAGAGCTCAGGTTAACTGCAGGATGAATTTAACTTGAATTCTGGATCCCTCTTAACCAATTTCATGTTTTGCTCTAACTGTTATTGTGACCCTTACCTCAGCTTGTGGAGTCAGTGGTACTTATATCTGCAGTAGTGCTTGGAACACAAAGTGCTTCAGGTTTTTGCTTAGTTCATGTTGCTCCTTTTCCGTTTATTCTTCTATGACAGTGGTCATGAAATAAAGTCCGTCATGGCTTATCCACATCTTTGCCTTTCCTCTTGCAAGTTCTTGAAGTACTGATCCTTGTCACACTTTGGAAATACCATGTGCATCGATTTTTGCTGCTGAATTTCAAACCAGAATATTTGTTCATTCTTGTTGCCCATTGATGGCAGTGACAACTGATGAATGTAAACCACTTCCATAGACGTCTTTCCTCTTAAATTCTTTTTTTCCCCTTGTTGTCTACATAGAAATTGGTGGTAGCTAGCCTTTGAGCTGAGATTGTTGTTTATCGGGAAAGCCAGCACCATCTGGGTGGGAGTGTTGATCTGCTGGAGGGCAGGAAGGCTCTGCAGAGGGATCTGGACAGTCTGGATTGATAGGCTGAGATCAATTGTATGAGGTTTAACAAGGCCAAGTG